CATACCACATTTCGCACGTCACCGGAACAACATTTTCCAGCATGGTAACGCCCGGACCCATACTGCCAGAGCTACACGGGACTTCCTACAGTAGAACGGTGTCAACATTATATGCAGTGGCCAGCCCTTAGTCCTGATTTAAACCCAATTGAACATCTTTGGGATGAAATTCAGAGGAGACTGAATATTGTCATACCAAGGCCGAACACAGCCGATTCATTGCGCCAGGAGTGTGGTTCCAGGTGCCAGTGGCCTTCATCAATCGATTTGTGCACTCCATGCATAGACGCTGTGTTGCAGTTATTTGCCGCTAGTGGTGGCCACACTAGATACTGAAGTCAAAAGTCTAAATGGACAGCAAACGTTCACGTAATTGCTTGGAATGGTGCTGAGTTATTCATTGATGTGTCAGAATATTGTACACAAAAAATGTTTTTTGATCCGCTTATTATGTTCATTTCTGTAATTATTTGATTACAGTGCCTATCTTAGTTTGAATTCGTACTGACGTTCGTTTTGCTGCTGAGTACATTAAGCGCCCAAATCTTGCAATGCACTCTCTTTGCTGATTTGTATATGACAGTCACTGAGAAAAGAAGGATCTCTCTACAAACCTTGTCTTCAGCGATGGTGCGTCAGTCCAATAGACTGTTTCAATTATAGGTTATTTACCACCTGCCTAAGGGTGGTACCAAGTGACCATCAGCAATATTCAAAACACACCATTTTGAGAAGTAAATAATCTAATTTGTACCAGGCTACAAGCGAATGAATCCATTGATGTACAATTGTTTAAGTCACTGACCCTGACCACATATTTAATTTCAGTCCAGTCTTGTGACTTGTTCCCGTATACCAGTTTCGTCTCTCACGTGGAATGCAAACTTTAGCTCTTAACATACCAATTCCCAAAATACGAAGAGTGGTCCATGGAACTAGAAAACGCCAAAGATATCGGTGAATTTACCACGTGACATACAGAAACGGGATTCAAATGTACAAACGGGACTATATGTTAACATACTGACATTTTTCTATGCAAAACAATCTCGAAGCGCTTGCGAACACCTGCTATCAATTCTCATACTTTCGTGTTTTGACATTTCATAAAAGTAACTGGAAAGCTAATGTGGAATTAATATAAGCTACAACGTAAAGCTGTATATCACAAGACAATACGGAATATATACACGGACATGTTTTCTCAAATATCTCATCGGAAAGTAACACATTACGTGCAGTTGTAAATCATGCTAGGTGATCGCCGTATATACAAGACAAATGTTCTTACAAATAAGTATTGAAATTTCCACGTGTGTATCAACACCTGAGTGCAGTCAGTTAAAAAGAATGAATTAGCAAGAACATACACGGGTATGAAGCAAACACAAGGTTAACACACTTATCTTTAAGACATAGCTTGACATTGAGCCTAATTATATAACATTTGCATTGTAGTCAGATCTGACAATCGACTGTCTAAATGCCAATGCAAGTTATGAGGTATTTTCTCACATGGACATTTCAGTGAATAGATTCAATCGTGATAATGTATTTATACTTTGTTCTTTTTATCCCTACAGTGCCTTAAGTCTGTTCAGCCCTCGATGAAATTCCTTTAGTACGGTCAGCCCCAGATAATACAAGATCGTCTATATCAATGGTTCAATAAACTTTTTACATAACGTCTTTGTTAGTACTACAGACAACACATGTTATTACCAGGTCGTCTTTGTCATAAGTAAAATATAGTATGACATTGCCTTTTTCATTATTATAATCAACCCTGGACAAAACGAGAATATGTTTGCCATTGGTAAAATCAACCCTAGATAATGCAAGGTTGTCATTATCAATGTTCAATCAGCTCTTGTACAATACAAATTCGCCTTTGTCAGCAATGCAGTCAACATCTGATACAGTTCCTGAATAAATCAATTCTTTACATAACGAGAATGCCTTTGTCAATAGTACAACCTACACTTGATATTACGAGGTCGTCTTTGTCAAAGCAAAACCAATCCTTGATATAATGACATCGCCTTTTTCATTATTACAATAAATACTTACATAACCAGAATGCCTTTGTTATTAGTAAAATCAACCCTTGATATGACGAGAATGCCTTTGTCATTGGTGCAATCAACCCTTGATATGACGAAAATGCCTTTGTCATTGGTACAATCAACCCTCGATAATGAGAATGCCTTTGCCATTAGTACAATTTACCCATGATATGACGAGAATGCCTTTGTTATTGGTAAAATCAACCCTTGATAAGACGAGAATGCCTTTGTCATTGGTACAATCAACCCTTGATATGACGAGAATGCCTTTGTCATTGATACAATCAACCCTTGATGTGACGAGAATGCCTTTGTCATTGGTACAATCAACCTATGATAAGACGAGAATGCCTTTGTCATTGGTACAATGAACCCTTGATTAGACGAGAATGCCTTTGTCATTGGTACAATCAACCCTTGATATGAGGAAAATGTCTTTGTCATAAGTACAATCAACCCTTGATAATACAATATCGTCTTAGTCAAGAATACAACCAGGCCTTGGAAATACGGGTTTGCCTTTGTTATTTTGTTTTCAGAAAAGAAAATCATAGAAACCTCATATGTCATGAAATCGAATTTTATATCCAGCGTTTAAGTTCATATTAAGTACATAAAATATTTTCTGATAACGCTTCCGTCTCATCTATATGTTGCCATTGTGTAAATGAGAAACAATTGATCTCTTGGTCCCTTACTTCATGCAGAGACACGACATACCCGTCTATATATGTATCTTCACATTGACGCAGCTCTAACGTGTTATGTGTACGAATAAAGAACTAAATACTCTGCATTCCGGATAGTACACAATCTCGTAATAAAGGGCAGAACACATCACAATTACATTGTGAGCATTGTTGTACAATGTACTTCTGTAATATATATGTACACGTGATAAATAACATATTTTACACAATGTATATCCACCAGTGACTAAACAATGGACAAGCGTCTTAACTATATTTCTCATGCGACACTGTTATGAACAAATGTTTAATTGTAATTTGACTTAATAATTTCAAGGTGAATGCTTTGTGGCACACATCTTGCATGCAAAGCATATTTTGTTTAAACGTTACACGTTATAATAGCAATGAGTAGGTAGATATCCAATATATGTGATAAAACTGTGTCTTGTGATGCCCAAGCTGATGATCACTGGATTGTCTGGTCGAGACTCGATTAATTAGAGACCGCATCCATACAGCTGGAATATTGCTGCGGCGTTAAACAACAAACCAACCAATCTTTGTGGCAATACATTCTGGGCGAAGAAGAAATATGTGTTAACAACGCAGTATTATTTCCATCATGGTATACAACACATTTCTGATATATGTAATAACATAACATTTTGAGTTCGGATCGGATTGCTATTTTTGCTTTATTTTCGTAATAAGGGGGACTGTCAAGCTTTGCATATGCAGTAACTATATTTGACAAATCAAAGGAAAAGGATTCTTCCTCCATAAGTTTTGTTTGAAATGTCAAGTTAGTTAGACCCCTACTGCAATACCTGTTAAAGTTTAACAGTCCTAGCTGTTATCACCTGTAATGATAGGTGAGGAACGAAAGTTCATCCATACGTTTTATATACCAATGATAGAAATGAAGCGTTTTCTAAAACGTAAAAGTTTAACGTTAGATTTAAAATATCCCAGACATAAATCGCAAAGAACAAAGAAGAAAGAGAAGAGGAGTATTTTTTGATGAAACATCGTTCAATCATGGCGGGATTCCTATTCGAAGACCTCGTACATTTAACGACGTTGTTTTATGAGGGTAGTTGGTTGTGCAATATAGGTATGATGAATTGGAAACGCAGATAATGACTGATCCGTTGAACCCAAAAGTGGGCGAAAAGGGGAATATAGGTGATTATAACGACAGTCGATCGTTTAATGTTTTTGAGAATATTCAGGATATATTAAAACCACACATTACCGTATTCTGGGATAATCAGCATTATTTACCTTCTGATTACTATTTAAAAGACTTCTAATTATTTTACATCCTCAAGAGACTTTACATATCTCGTGAAAGATAATAACGAACAACGATCGAGTCGTTGCTAGTCGTTTAATAAAATACTGCAGGTAGAATAAACCACGTGAACTAGGACTGACTGAGTTTAGTTTTACGCCGCTTTTAGCAATATTCCAGCAATATCACGGCGGGGGACACCAGAAATTGGCTTCACACATTGTGCCCATGTGGGGAATCGAACCCGGGTCTTCGGTGTGACGAGCCAACGCTTGAACCACTAGGCTACCCCGCCGCCCCACGTGAACTAGGAGCCTCGGGGTTATGTCACCCTGCATGTTACCGTCAGACAAACAATCATGCATGTACAATGGCAGCCTATTGTTTTACGTCGTAATAATGTATGGTCGTGTAAGCATTGTGTAAAAAGTGAATCTACAAAATGCCTAAAGATTTTCATTTACGAATTAACTGAAAATTATGTTCATTTGAGTGACCGATTACAATGACTAAAACATTTAAAAGTTCAGAAGTTCTAAAACATCGCAACATTCCAATCATCAGTCATTTGGTGATGACATTCAAATTCAAAATTTTCGGAATTGGTTCTTATTATATAATAGATGGAAATACTTTTCAGTTAATTTGTAAAACATCTGGATTACTCACTCCTCTTAGAATTGCTTCTGTGGAGATATCAATCATTGCGTCATCAGAGTGATTGATTTTACACACTGACACATCACTGATAACATAACAAAAAACGTTCGTCTATTGATTAAGGTTGCGAATGCAATATCGTAAACTATTTATGATGAACGTTTCAATTAATGAAATTAGATTAGATTCCTTTAATTATCAGAAGTACTATTTGTAAGTCAACACTACACCAGAAATGTCAAATTGACGAGTTGATAACTACATGTAAGTATTTACAAGGTGATTAATTTAAAACGAAAACATGAGGAACACAACTGACGTTGAGGCCAGTGTTAACATAAGGAACACCCAGAAGAGAAGGTTGTCTACCGCGTCCCCTACTTCTATCCATGTTATTTCTTGGAGTGGGTCATAGTTGTTGATATCAAATTCAGGCTCATCGTACAACACAGAGAACTCGTGTCCAATTGGCCCCTCTTTGTCCGTCTTTGGGTCCATAAGAGACATATTTTCCGGGTATATTTTCGAATCTGAATCCGAGTGTCGTCGTTTTGCATCGCCATTCTCGTAGCGACGTAGTGTAGAACTTTGCTGTTTGTCTGTCTCTAATTGTTTCCGCTTCTGTGACCTCAGTTTTCTGATTCTACAACACAGGAGACAGTTGACCCATTTTGGTATGGGCCTACCTGGCTTCTGGTGAATCATATTCATCACAACGCCCGAGGATAAGACGGACATTGTGCTCAGGGACAGCAGGACAGTAAGGTAGACGGCTGAAATTAGATAAATGTGAAACATGTAAATGGTTGAAGGTGAAACATGAACTTGGATAAGAATGAAACGAGTGATTGGATAAAGATGAAGCTTGTAATTGGATGAGGATGAAACATATAATTGGGTAAGGATTAAGCATGTAATGGGATAAGGATGAATCAGATATTTGGATAAGAATGAAGCATGTAATGGGATAAGGATGAATCATGAAATTTAATAAGAATGAAACATGTAATATACAAGGAATGAAGAATGTAATTGAATCAGGATGAGGCATGTAATGGGATAAAGATGAATCATGAAATTTAATAAGAATGAAACATGTAATATAAAAGGAATGAAGAATGTAATTGGATAAGGATTAAGCATGTAATGGGATAAGGATGAATCATGAAATTTAAGAAGAATGAAACATGTAATATAAAAGGAATGAATAATGTAATTGAATCAGGATGAAGCATGTAATCGGATAAGCACGAAGCATGTAATTGAATCAGGATAAAGGATGTATTTGGATAAGGATGAAGCATGGTATTAGATAAGGGTAAAACTGTATTTGTATAAAAATGGAACAATATATTGGATAAAAGGGAACAAATCAATATGCAATTGGATAAGAATATTCATGTAATTGGATAAAGGTGAAACATGCTATTGGATAAGTATGAAACATATAACTGGATGAGAATGAACTAGATAATGAGGAATTAGACATCTGTGAAGAAACTCCGGCTAACCATGCAGTGTCAGGAACATGAGGAAGAAGTATATGTCAGCTTATAAGTTAACCGTTGTAAGATAAGGACAATGTTGCTAATGATCTTAATTCTGTGTAAGGGTGAAATATGAGTCAATATATGTGCTGAGTTTCACATTCTAGAGAACCTAATTAGATGTTTCCACAGACATTGTGTCTTTAACGCAGAATGGAATATGTATCGTTGCACAATCGAGACGGGATATTCTCCCGATATTCGTTATATATTCACACATTGTACCATATTGTGCCTATAGCGAGGCCTGCAAATGCGTCAACCAATGCCTACCCCCCCCCCCCCCGCCTATATCTAGGGTAGATTATATATTCCCTTTCTTACTTACATTGGATTACATAAAACGCCTTCAGATATTTTGTATGTGTCCGTATATCTGCAAGCCTTTTAGTCTTTTGTTCAATATTTTCAAACTCTTTTGGATCTTTTAGAGATGTTACTAAGTCATATGTCTTTGCTTCATCATTGATTAGGTAGCATACATTGGGCAGAGTGCATCAGACAACTGACTTGTTGCATTCACCTTTCCCACGATATTGTATGTTTAGTGTTTTTCAAAACATATATTTCATAGATTCTAAAGAATACATTTCCTCGAAAAGTGTGTTATCACGAAGATTTCTTATTGATTTTCAGTGTTCCTATACTTTCTTTACTTTGTTTTGACTTTCTCGATCAAATAAATGCGTTTTTGCAAATAATCGAGGCTGATTTTATCTAGTTTCAGATATAAATGTAGGCCCGTGTTAGCGGCTGCAGGTTAAATAAATCGAAGAGACACTTTGCGACTTGTGTATGTTTTCGAAATTTGGTGAAATGATCATTCGAAAATGAAACTGTATGACTGAGTTACACTTTAACGTGAGTGAGTGTGTTTAGTTTTACGCCGAACTCAATATTCCAGCTATATGGTGACGGTCTGTAAATAAACGAGCCTGGGCCAGATAATGCAGTGATCAACAGCAAGAGCATCGATCTACGCAACTGAAATACGATGACATATATCAGCGAGACTTACTACCCGAGCATGGGTTACTGAAGACCAATTCTAACCACGATCTTCACAGGTTCACTTTAATGTGAACGATACCTACGACACATCATGTAAGTTGTGTATATTAAACACGTTTAAAACAGTCAGGGCAGTGAGTAGCCTTGTGGTTACGTCGTTCGCCTGTCACTCGGAGGGTCCTGGTTCAATTCTCACAATGGGTTTGATGTTACCATAAGTGATACTGTAACTACTTAAAGTGGCGTAAAATACAACTCACTCACTTGATCTTAAAGGGTCATTTTCACAGAGCGAAATAGAGACGTATGGACATTAGAAGCGACAGTAAAATACAAGTCACAGTTCCCATTGTTGAATGTTCCAAATGTTCAAAATAGGACGTGATGTAACGGTTTAGCATCATATATGTCGCACACAAAAGCAATGTAGATTTAATGAACCTGCATTAAAGGCCTATGGTTGACAGTATTTACATTCCCCAACATAACCATTTCTCTGCATCAAAGTTTCCAATATTACAGAGTGTTCCCTATGGTCTAAGCCGAAGGATTTAGCCATACAAAGTTGCTTCCCTTAGTCTCTCAAGGATCCTTTGATCTTTTGTCTTGTTGATTGTGATCCTTGGCATATCAGTATGGTATCAGAAATCATACCGTTTACCAAAGAGGTAGAGGCCAAAGACCAGCACCATTTCGAGTTTCCCACCCAAATCATGATTAATTCATCTTCATAGTCATAACATTGTTCTTTACACTGGTTAGACTGAAGGGCGTCTATGGCTACGTCTACAGCTACGACCGTATCGATTCTCCCCGATCATGATGACTTATCTCTCAGCACCAATTCCGTCTTCGTTTGTTGCGTCACTTCGTCCTTTCATCTCATACCGTGAAATAACTGCACTACTTAGTGTTAAAACGAAACCACTCAGTTCAATAACAAGTACTAGTGTATGTACATTGAACGGAACTAAAGCCCTCGAAGATGAATAGAAACCTCTGTTCCCTAACAGAGCCAGCATAATAAGGATTTATTTCGCTACAATTTCTTCATACTCGAACGTTTATCACGATCTCGTGTGTACTTCAAACAAGCCAACTGTTATTACCGTTCTAGATATATTAATATGTTTCAGCGCCCGTAAATACTTCTGTTTTCTGTATAGCCAGAATGTGTATGCTTCAAGAAACCTCCGGAAAGCATGAACAGATCTTCCGCAAAGTTCACGTCTCTGATAGTTCCATTTTATGATCGCTTCAGTGCTAATATCATCTGCACAACTCCATATATCCGGAGGCAGTGATGCAATGATATGTTATATCTCTTTTCGACACCCATAGATAACTGTGTCCAAAAGAGGTGTATACTGAACGAAACAAGAAAGGGGTCATGAATAGATTGTGGGGGATTTCTTGTGTAAACTCAGTGACGACATACACTTTCATAAAAACTATTCCACAATATATCCATGATTCCTGAATATTTGTTTCAGTATATGACCATATTTCAATGTTTTGCCTTTGTTTTTGTTGACTGACCAGAAAGTGTTACCATGACTTTGTTTACTTTCAATAACACTCCTCAATAATTTCATAATGTCTTCTGTCAGACACGTCGCGATATATTAATTCGTTGTTTCATTAATTGGTTTTCTTCCACGGGAATCATCAGACCAAATGTGACGATCAGTGGCTCTGGTGGATGTTGTGAAACCATCTCCCAATGAACCGTATAATAAGTGGAATGTTTCCCTGAACACCCGGTGTCTTCAACGAATTTAGTGAACCATATATCAAATTTTCATTGCACAATCAATTGCGTGTTGGTAGCCACTGATTGCTATGTAGTGTGGACATATATTTTATGTTGCTTACAGGAAATGTCTTCGTTCGTTGCTGTGAGACTACATGTCGTAATATAGAGATGGCAAGACTTTATGGATGATCAACTTCTTTATTTTAACAATGGCGACGTTTCGGTATAGATTTTTATACCGTTTTCAAGCATGACATTGTTCAAATAAAGAAGTTGATCATCCATAAAGTTTTGTCACCTCTATATTTTCGGTATAGATTCTTATTCCGTTTTCAAGCATGCTTGAAAACGGTATAAGAATCTATACCGAAACGTCGCCATTGTTAAAATAATGAAGTTGATCATCCATAACGTTTTGCCATCTCTATACCACCAACTTCTAGAATGCTACTCAAACAAATGTCGTAATATAGTCAGCTATTTTCACAAACGTTTGTCTCTGTGGTCGTATTCATGCGTAATTTACATTCGTGCATCGTTGTGTCGACTTTACCATAATGATTTTACGTGATGAGTCCAGTCTCTCGCATCGTGCCATATCTGCAAAATATTCGCATGGCGTGTTTGATCACAAAAGATAGAAACCTTCCCAACGCTTTTTTCGCTGACCCAATAGACACTGAGGTCGACTGGGCGGATATCTGTATACCTACCAAGTATGGAGATACTCTCTGAAGTTTTCGGCATAACTTCACTGATAATACTTAGGTACACTGTAAAGGAGAGCAGCACCGTCACAGCAAGCGCCATCTTCTCACCAGAACTTGCCGGAAGTAGAAACACAAGCACGTTAAGAAGGGAGAGCATCACTACAGGTACAATAGTATTGAGCACGTAAAAAGTCCTTTTCCTTTGAAGGTGTATCCTAAACGTAACTCCAGTGTGTTTCGTTCCTGGTCTGTAAGTCGAAGGGTAAAAATATGACTCTGCTTCTGTCGATGTTATGTCCCATTCGCCATTGGGGATGCACGCGTCTAAACTTACTTCCTGTGCCCCAGGGAACACCTCCAATGTCCTGTTTGTGTGCATCCAGGTGAGGAACTTAATCTCACACAACTGATAGTCAAATGGGTACTTTCCGATATTCACTTCACAAATAGTCTTAGCCACAAATCCTGGTTCCCAGAATATTTTTCCATCATAATCGATGCTCACTAACATTGCTGAATTTCCAAGCTCGGCGAAGTTTTGTGCGCTGAAAATATAAAGAACAGGGATTAATAATTGTCAGAAATGATTGTTTCTTACTACTTTGTATACCAGCAAACTGAATTTATATGTTGAGAGTATAATGCGTTCTTCTTTTATCAATAAGTCGCTGAATGAATAAAGTATGCCAAAGTAGTTTCGATACATGTATCTTACGTGTTTTCTATGAGTAAATCTGGGAGCCAAATTTTTTTTTCTGGGACACCGAGATATCCTCCACTCCTCCGTAATTGCTTTTGTTCCACTTCAGAAATTCGTCTTGCCATTGCTGCAAAATTCAGACATGATATAATAAGACCACACCTGATCCGACACAGTTGGCATCTTAGAGTAAAATCAGCTCGATATGGGTTCACCATCGATCTGTTATGCAGGTTTCTCCGAGGGGATGTCAAGGTTAAAGTCCACGTTGTTTCAGGAAAATACTAATATATCTGTGTCCATAGCAACATGATATGGTCATTCCATACAGCGAAAGGGCATACCAATTTGGGTCCCGTTATACCTGTGGGTCACGCAACTGACCTTGACATTAATCTCCTAGATGACATTTATATTATAGCGATCAATTATACGGTCTGTAAGCTGGTTACTAAATTCGAATGGCCACGGAGGGACATAATGACTATCAAAATGTCAAGTCATTTCTCCACCTACCTACTATAATTCACCTAACCACTGGACCAGGGTAAAGGTCAATCAATAATGAAAGGATGTCTTCAACAATGATGAAACAATATTTAAAAAAAAAGAAATGATTCGTGTCATGGGCGAGTTATATTGTGGGGAAACTTTTCGTCGTGGCTGAGTTGAGTAGGTTTTTTAATATGCATAAATGTATGTAATATAAGACATAGTAGTACAATATTTCAGCATTTGTGCATATAAAAGGGATTATATATATATATATATATATATATATATATATATATATATATATATACTATATACGCAAAATGTCCAAAATAGTACAGGTTTCCAGTCATAAATATCACATAGATAAATAAAAATACTAAAAATAAAAATACTAAAAATAGTGTGTGTGTGTGTGTGTGTCTATATATATATATATATATGTCATATATATGATAGTTAAGTGTATTTTTTCGTGTCTTAATGAACCATTTGTTCCACACTTTATGACAGCTGCATTTACCATTTGTTCCATCTTCTTGAGACTATTAATGCCATTACTGCAGTACCAAGGTATCACATTGCTGCCAAATTACACCCTGTCTGCTGTACATGAGCACATTGACATTTGAAGTGTCAGCACAGTACAGGAAATAAAGTCTGGTCGGATCCACCTGACTAAGTATAGTTAATTATAAACCCCGAGGGACTAACTAAGGAAACAGCTGACTACACGTTAACTCAGCTATCACATCGGAAATCCTTTTAAGGTATCCAATTCCTCTGATATCTCAAACACATCATTGCAATGATCGTGGTTGGAGTATCCATGCACGCCAAAATTCAGAATGAACACTGGTTTTCTGCTTATCAAAAGTGCTTTCTGAAGATCATAACTCAGAATGTCCCCCTTTACTTTGAAGATCATAAGTGTATTGGAGTAAAGCGTGGATGAAGTTTCAAACTATCTTTTCAGAAATGAGGTCAATGAAATGTGCTATAGCCCTGTCAGGTTCTGCAGTACTGGATTTCCACGTTGGTAATCAATGACACGTTTCTTCAAATTTTATATTTGGTTTCAATATTTTTTACTGTGTAGTCCTGGAGACTTCAAACGAATTTCCCTCAATTAGACAAATTTCTTGTAAAGACGTTGCGAGATGTTTTCCCATTACCTACAATTTTCATTTCTTCTTACTCATTGGAACTTAAGTGTTTAAAGATATGCTTGTGTGAGTGGCGGTTGCCTCTGGCAAAGCAGGTGTTATTGATTTACCGGTATTCTATTTTCATCACTATTTTACTTTTTATGCAGTGTGAAATCGGCAGGTACTCAAAACAGATGTTTCTCTAACACTGGTGTTTTGAAATCGACACAACTGTGTCCGCTACTCGTTTTGATGATAGATAAATCAATATGTTCACCTGTGAGTTGATGAAGTTTGTTTCTGATTACATTCCTACCCACTACGCTGACCCAAAACAACCCAAATACTATGCATCCAGAATTTCTTCAGAAAAAGTACTCTATTCCTCTCCGTATAACGCCATACTACCACCATGGGATTACTCTTCTAATAGTAAGCATAATGAACCATATGGTACCGTTCTGATTGACCCAAAACTGTCAGCACCAGGATGAAATCTTCTGGCACATTTATTTTGAAAACCCTCGTGTATAAGATGATTGGAACTTTCAGACTTGCAGGGGCGAACATTTGTGTTACTGATGAAATGTTAGGATGTACTGATGTTCCGGTATGATTGAAATATAGACATTTTGGATACTGTATGATTAAGCTGCTACAACCATCGTGTTCAAAAGGATTTATTTTAGGAACCTTTTTTTCTTCGTGAACGATGGCATTTTCTAGCATTTTCCATAATGGCAGCTTAAATTTGAATTTTCTTCTCCCGTACTGCATTTCGATGTTTGTTATAAAGTAACTTTAGATTGTTTTTCTAGGTCATGGCAGTTCATGCTGAACAGTTTCATTCTGTTTAGGTCTTGTACTGCCACCGACTGAATATAAGCATAATCGGAAAACAGATAGTTCATTTAGTGGGAGGTTATTGGTAATACTCACTATATTAAACCAACCGCTTGTTGTTAACACTTGGTTTTTCATATCCTGAAATGGAAATATATTGAAATATGAATACATGAAAACAGATGGTGATTATCGAACTATTATATTCATTACAATTACAATGAAATACAATGTAATTTACAATACCACACAAGGTAGTGAGGCACATATATTTATTGTGGAACAGTGTTATTGTATTGCATTATTTCTGCTTAGATTCAAGACGCTTGTGAAGGCCGCGGTGGGTGCGTTGCTATTTACTGGACAAAATAAATTAGGGATATTGGTATTTTTATGATTGATATGTTATCAGTGTGTCAGTGAATAAATAGATCATTATTCATAATTTCAAAAGTTACATACATCCCTAATTACTGTCCAGTATATGTAGACTGGGAGTCAGGACTGGTGCCGAAACTTCTAGAGCATGATCAGATACCTTGACTTCTCAGCTTGGGCCTATCTTGGACGCTGATCACTGTTGCGGGTGAATATTACTCTCTGACACTCTCTATTGCTATTATCAGTTCATTTGTACTATACTGTCTTTGAATTTGCACAGGCACAGGTACCTTTGTAGGTACCTTTGTAGGTATCTGTATTGATTTGTAAAATCAGTTAATGTTAGAATGCAATAGTTAATTATATCACACTGCTGGCGCAGTTGTTTCTGGTTTTACTCTTGTCCGGACTGATTTCAGGGTAACTGCTGCATTAGGTTCAACATTGGAATCATCAACTAACAATATTAATTCGTAGAACTACACTAGAAAATCGTCAAAGCATGCAATAAATATTGCAACTACATACATTCATGAGTAAATACATTAGAAAACCTTTACGGTTTTTCTCCCGCTGTAATGGAAACTAAGCCATGTAGCCAGATATACCTACCAGATCGTGTATCATGAGAAGAAAAAGTGACAGGTTGACACTGACGCTGTGCGATTGATTATACACAGGGGGGATAACTCTATTGTATTTGTGGAAGATGGTTCTGTGGAGTCTGGCAACGTCGTCAACGGAAGCCGTGATCACTGAAAACAGGTATGAATTGTTTGTAAAAGGACATTAAGCACGAACACAATTCTATATCAAATGATTTCATAATAGCATTTACAATGCACAAATAGTTGATTGGGGTGGGTTTTTTCACACATTCTTTACCATATCTTCATTCTGAAAATTAAACAAGTGAAATAACGTGACAATAAACATTTATAATACCAGACTGTCAGCCTCGTGCTGCAATGGAAATATATCAAATAAAACGCAAAGAAACACAATAAAACATGTAAAGTCAAGTTCTTAGACTTGCTTTACCTGACAAATATTTTAAGACACTGAAATATATTGAAATAGCATTTGTTACAGCGTTGGTAAGAGGATGTTTATATACATAAATTGTTAAACTAAAATATCAGAAATGCCAACGTTACATTATCTCCATTGGCAAATGAAATGTCACAGTGCCAAAGACCCTAGAGAAATGAAACCAGATCACTCCTTGCTTTTCTTCCACTTTTAATGTTCCGAAGTATTGTAAAGTTGGTGAACTTGAAAAAGTACCAACGAATGCTTTTACAATGACTTAACGGCTTTGTAAAATTCATGAAATGCATTAAGATGTTCAATAATCAGTAAACATATGCTTACAATTTGTAAGCTACGTGGACATATTGCGAAACCATATTTTAGAGTATTCACAGCTAGATGCGAAAGCAAGGCAAGGAGTACCACCGGTCTTAATGTAGATCTAGGACTGAAACATTATACCCATGCGAATTTGTTTATTAATATTATTCAATACGTCTTCTATTTCAATACTACGCATGGACTGATATATCAATATCTGTATTAATGTTGTTTTTTTCTCTCGACCATGCTTTCGTAGCTTTGGCAGCTCTAATGATAATAGAATCTACGTTCTTCAAACTGTAAAGCAAAGTTCAAAGGAAGAACATGAAATAGGATAATGCTAAATGATAACTCGTAGTCACTTGATAACCTGAAAGCAACAACCTTTAATAAAAGGGGAGGAAACGATCTGCTCACAGCGATGGTTTTGTATCTACAAAGCCTGGTATTTCAAAATCCACTAATGGGAAGGATTTCACTAGGGATCAATGCCGAGCTTGGAGGTTTAAAAAAACAAGCAAAGTCAAAGGAGAGAGTAGTTATGAGGAAGACATTCATGCATAAACATGCTTGTATGTTGGATATTGCAGGAGATGTATGATTTATACCGCGTCAAAAACTAAAACATTATGTTATGATTGCTGGTATCAGCATTGCGCTGAATTCAATAACCTATGTTCAAAGCTGCCTTTTACTTTCTGCCATCGTCTTACTCTGAAACACCGTTAACGTGAATCATAATGAGCTGAAGCATGGATCGGCTACCCCATGATAGTTGCCTTTCCAACAGAAATAATTACAACATAACGAGTATTTTATGCCATAATCTTTCATATTCACTGATTGAGGACTTGCTTTCAATCGAAATGGCGAAAAGGGGAATCGCAGTCTTTTCAACGTTTCTACTACCGACTAAGGAAACAATTGACAAAAAAAATCAATGTTAGGGTAATAACGTAACCGTGAAAGGAAATAACTAGCTTCCAATCAATTTTCCTTCAGCTAATGTCTTCTCAATTTGCTGTAAGGTTGGTAAGGAGCCATCGGTTATTATGACTACTTATTTTCGCGCACATGTGCTGAAAGATTACATGGGTTTATGCATTTTGCCGTGTAAATGATAGAAATGTAAATCAAACTTCTGGAATATTTGTAGGTTTTATTAACCTTTTTTATTGGCGTTCTGGCTGCGACCATCGGCAAGTCAGTCAGGGTAACTCTTACTTTATCCGTCTGTAGTTAGTTGATTGGATTGCAAAACGTCAGCCACGTTGCCTGTCAGTTGCAGAATGTGTTGGTGACTTGTGTTTACTATGATGAACATTGATTTTGTCAAATGATTCTTGATTAGTTGTGAGCTTAAATAGATTTGCTAGTTTTGATAGAGTCGGTTGCGTTAACTTAGTATTTGCAATTTCCAATCAACGTATAAATCCCATTTTATATACTTGATATATTTAAGAATAAGCTACATTTGTTTTAATACGCTGAAATGAGAAGTTTATAGGTGCAATGATCTACCCATGGAAGCAATCTCACTATCTTTAACTATATCCATATATAACAATTGTGATTATGTACTATTATTTACGTACTATACTATTCACACTTTGCTAAGGATCAAATCATGGATTCAACAGAAAACTATGATGTGGGGTCAGCTTATTGTAAGCATGGATCCTAGGTTTCAGTATGTCATTTTATCTTGTGGATCCCATACCTGCTATTGACGGGTGTTGTGTACTTGCCAATGACTCGTTCCATGACATGCAAAATGGTTGACTGGTGCCATGAAAACCATTTTTAT